ATTTAGCCCAATTTCTGAATCAAGATTCTATGGCATGGTGTACCCGAATCCGCTCGAGGATGGAATGGCGCCGTGGCCTGAATCGGATTGCGCCGGCAATCGAGGATGAGCTGCAGGAGATGGCCGAGCACAACAAGAAGAATGGCAATCCAAGCCGGAAAGTAGTCGTAATCGTCCCCTGGAGTGGCAATGATGTCTACGGGGATTACGGCTACGCAGGCTGTAAGTGGATCAATCAAAAACGATTCCTAAAGACCGAGGCGGACCGGAAGGTCGCAGCCGATTGGCCGTACGCTCAACTATCTCGCGTGCGAGCGGGTGTCGAGCGGCTGATTGAGCTGCGAGCCCGACCCGACATAGCCGAATTGGTGGTTGTCGGAAACGCCCCGGCCGAGGACTACGACTTGCCGAAAGCATACAACCGGCATCTCGGGGAGCACTACGGATACCTGATATCGAGAGGGGTTCCGTGTGTGGATCCAAGCACGATGACGAACCAGGTCTTCTACCACGATCAATTCCACATGATCGAGTGCTACCAGACCCTCAAATGGGGCGTCGCCGTCTACTCCGGCATTGCAACCAGCGCATTTCGAACCTTCCAAGTGATGCAGTACAAGGACGAGATTGAACCGTTGACAATCCTGAACGCCGGTGAAGGCGAGGGAGATCTGCAGTTGATGGAGTTCATGTTCAGGTACCCTACTATCTCGGAAGTTCGAGCTGCTGCTGACTTGACGCTTGCCGGAAGGCGAGCCGTGGATCAAATCGAACTGAGCCCGGCCGACATTGTGGACGCAGTTGACCAAGAGATAATGAATTGGTTGCTGCAAGAGGAAGAGACGGATGTCGTGCGCCTGAAAGATACCAGCCACGTGCTGGCCCAAGAGATGACCCCGGATGACCTGTTGCGGTTGCCCATCGACGCAGAAGAATTGGATGAAAGTGAGCACGATGAGAGGCATCGCATCATTATGAAAGAGCTGTACCCAGACTTGCCAACTCCAATGGGGGGCCAAGAACTTGTGGAAGAGTTCCCATGGGAAGTCCCAGACGAAGGAGATACGCTCGACTTCGATGAGTGGGAACGGGCCCTTGAGGAGAAAAAGAAGAATCCGGATGCCAGCTCATTCATCCCGCCAGTTGAGGTGCCGCTTCCGCCACCAAAGACTGAGGAAGAGAAGGCAGATGACGAAGCCTTTGCTGATGTTCGCACCGAAAAGTCCTATGTGATCGTTGAGCATCCCGAAGAGGAACAACCAGACTGGGACGACGATGATGCGGACTCGGCGGTATTCAAGTCTGCGGGGGGTTCAGAGACGGGCGAGGCCGATAAGCCCGAACCCATGGAGGTCGACGAAAAGGCCCAAGGGGAGCAGAAGAAGGCGGATGAAGAAGCCGCTCCCGAAGGCCAAAAAGACGTCGACCAACCAGCTGAGGAATCCCAGGGCGGAGAAGCCAAGGAGACTCCGGGCCAGGCTAGTGAAGAGAAGACCCAAACTGATGATGCCCAGCCCATGGAGATCGACCTGACTGGTGAGGATGACGCGGAGAAGGGAAAGCCGAAGAAGAAGCCCTCTGCCACGAAGCCCCAGAAGCCAAGCGTGCCGGAAGGTTCGCCGAAGCCAGAACTCACAGAGCTAGAGAAGGCCGCTGCTGAGGCCAAAGCTCACTACGAGGAACTGAGCTACATCGACGGGAAAACCGGCCGAATCGTGGTGAAAGGGGAACAGGAAGAGCGGGACGCTCGATTCAAGAAGTGGAAAGAAGCAGAGCGGCTTGCTATTCGGCCCAAGGCGCAGCCGAAGCAGGTGAGGCCTCCTAATCTGGAACCCACCTTGCGGGCAATCGACACCGAAGATCCCAGTAAGGATCTCGAATTTGCCCAGCTTCCGGGACAAGAGGTGTGGCTCGGTCCCGAGCACCTTCGCCAAATCCCGCGCCGGGATGTTGAGTGGGGCCGTTTTCGGTGGATCTCTCAAGAGCTCACATCCCACCTCCGCGGCCATAAGGAACTGAAAGGGTTCGACACGCCGGACTTCGAGGAGGACGGCAGTAAGCCCTGGAAACCGCTCATGGAATGCCTCCAGAAACGCATTAACCAATGCAGGGAATGGGAGGTGCTTCTGGTGATCAAGAATTCGGAAGACGAAAGATTCGAGTTAAAGACTCGCCTGCCAGGCAATCCTGTGGGAGCGACCTGGAAAGGTCTGCCGTACGAACCAGTCGGTATCAAGGCGGCGCAAGGCCACAACCGGTGGGTCACTGACCGGTTGGGACACGCCAACTTCATTAAGCATGTCTATTCCCTTGACCCCGACTACGTACCGAAAATGGTCGATGAGGGCAAGCTTCCACGGATGAACATGGTGCCTGACCAGGAGTATCTGTCGTCACTACCAAGGGTCCTATACCACTCGCGCGACCGCGCAGCTATGGAGGGAATCATCACCTCCGGCCTCATCCCTGGTGGTTTTCCAAAGAAGACGGGCCGAGCTCACAATTATTTCACGACCTGCCCGCCATGGAAGGCCCAGATGAGAAAGCTTGCGGGAACGCGAGCCGGACAACCCACTTACCTAGCATTCGACACAGAGCTTGTGATGCAGCATGGTTGCCGAGTCTTCGCGACACGGAAAAGCATCCTCTGTTTGGACTGGGTTCCGAATTCTGCACTGATGTACGCGTACGATGCCCGGAACAACCAATTTGTCTGGTTCAACAGGGCGTACGCCAAAATGCGACAGATGTACCATGAAGAAATGAAGAGCCATTCCACTGACGATCCGCAGTTCCGACTGAGCAAGCTGGCTGAAGCCCGAAACTACATGCTGAACAATGCTCGCCAGAATCAGCAGCACGTCAAGTTCAAGGTGGGCCAGATCAACCTGATGCGAGGCGCAGTCAAGATGACGGGCATTACCGACGAGGTTGCCCTGACTCAGAGCCAAGCGTCCCGGGAGGGTCCGCCGCCAGAGCTTACCGGCTTTATGCTGGGACAAGTGTGCATCATCATCAATGAGGAGATGTCTGGCTGGGCAGGAAAGGGCAAATCAAAGGGCAAGTCCAAGGGCAAGAAAGGCAAGGGCAAAGGAAAGTTTCGCGACATCACAGACGAAGATCTGATGGCGAATGAGATTGTCCAGATCCCCAAGCGGGTGTGCCCATCACCCTTGTGTGCGACGAAGCACTTTGATGGCCAGCACAAATGCGACTACTGTCGCCAAGACTTGCAGGTCTGGTCCGACGCCCGATCGGCCAGTGAACTTGCCCGGATGGAAGAGACGGCCAACCTCAACGAGTCCGTCGTCGCCTTGGATCAGCTTTCAACAAGATCCTTTCGCAAGGCGAACGTCGTCAAAGACACGTCCAAGTGCGAACAGCAGCGCGGCGCCAAATCGGCGTTCGGCCTAGTCAAGAGACTGGCCGTCAACTACGTCAGGAAGGCGAAGCAGCTGGGATTGCCCGGACCGACGAAGCGACTGGAGGTTGACCCGTTGTTTGCCTATAACTGTGCAACAACGCAGCTCACGTCAGGGTCACTCACCTTTCTTCACCGATTAGCACGAGCGATCTTTGCCAACCCTGGCCGAAGCGCTCTCGAGCGGAAGAGGGCCCTTGACGACCAAGAAAGGGAGCACCACTCCAAGTTGTGCTTTATCCCCACCATTGCCAGGGATCCGATCGATGCCATGTCGATCGAAGACGAATCGTTCGTATGTCATCACAATCGTTTCTTCAATTTGAAGCAGTTTTCGATGTGGTGCTCGCTGGCCCGCACACGCAACGAACCCGTTGTTGCTGTGGAGGGATGGGGAAGCCTGGAGTGCGTGCCGGAAGGCGACGCCGTGCAGATCCTGAGCGATTTAGTGGAGTTTGCTGAACGCAATTGGGCTCGAGCTTGCGAGGGAACCGAGTACTCCGATACGACGATCTTTTCAGGACGGTTTCCAGAGGTGAAGCTCACCGAGCGGCGATCCACTGCAAAGGAAAGCACGAAGACGGCCTTCGATCCTCGCTCAAAGGGAATCGGGAAAGACGCCAAGCTCTGCTACGAGTGCGGCTCACCCGACCATCGTGCCCGCGACTGCCCGGAAGCAAAGGGTCGCAACAAGGGCAAGGGCAAAGGCAAGGGGAAGAGCCAGTATCAAGGAGGCTGGCAAAGCAGCTGGAACCAAGGATGGGGAGGTTCCTGGGGCTCCGGTTCGTGGGATTGGAACCGCTCCGGGCGATCCTCGTGGCAGAGTGAGGCTGCCTCGTCATCTTCCTCCGACTGGTGGTCCTCGTCCAAGGGAGGCTGGTGGAACCGCTGAAAAGCCATGAAGAAAAGGGAGAAAGAAGCAGAGAATATCGTCTCGCCATGCGGACCGGAAGGTCACGCCGGAAATCAAATTCGTTGGTGTGATACTTTCAATGTCCCTATATGAAGCGAGCGGGAACGCTCTGCCGTAAACCCTTCAATCAGCTCATTTTGCATTTAATTCAATGGTTTGCGCAATCTGTGTACGCTTTTCTCGAGCATGGAACGGTAAGAGTTCCCAGTGAGACGAGCGTGCCGGAAGGCATGGCCGTTGTTCTAGTGAGAAACCTCATTGCTTATCGCAATTTTTGAGGTCAGTTATAGCTGCTCAGGCGAAGACTTGTCGCATGCTCCGCATCAGTGAAAAGAGATCGATTGCCTCAATTTTGCTTTCGTCTTGCATTGTTAAGTAGGGGGTTGATTGCATTCGTGCCGACATGCCACATTCGCAAGCAGTAGTTCGAGGGTCGTAGTGCGGTTTGATTTCATCGCCGCCTGAGGTTGATACGTGGACACCGAACGACTTCCTCTTCGGTGCACCGCGGCAAAGCCGCTTCGCGCCGCGGGGGGTGTTTTTACTAAGTGTTCCACGTATACTGTGTATAATATACCTCGCGACCATCGCTCTTTGGCTCAAGAAAAAGGTGGGCGTTATTGGCTGATTTCCTGTAAACATACTCCACAGCCGTTTTTTTTTCAGGTCTCCTCTGGCAAGGTCGAGGAGGTGGAAGCTGCCATGGAGGTGGAGCGGGCTCGGCCGGACATGGTCAGACCCATCACTCGTATCCCAAAATTGGGGAAGACATCCATGGTTTGCGGAGAAGGTTGGGTGGAGATCCACCATCCCTGTCGTTCACCGGAAGCACATGTCTTTTCTCTGAGGCATCCGAAGTCCCTCGACGGGTCTGAAGACGTCGGACCGAGGTCTTCGATGTGGCGGACCCCAGCGGGAAGCTGCGCGCCAAAGCCAGTCGGGAGAGCCAGATGTCGGGAAGTGCCTCAAGGAGATGGAGAACACCCACATCAGTGGTGTGACGCCGGTGTTTTTTCTTTGCACGTTTCATTGTTCCCTTCTTTCCCCCCAGAAGTGTTTTGTTATGTTTTGTTTGGATTTTGGAGAGACTTAGTAAAGGAGGGACTACATCGAGTCGATTGTTTCTCATTGATCCATGTGCAGAGAAGCTCTGACTTTGCCTGAGGCGTGCAGCGGGAAGCCGCCAACGGCTCCAGACATGAGGCCACGACCAGCAAGAAGGAGAAGGTACAGCAAAACTGTAAAATATTGTAAAACCAGTAGCGGTCGCGAAAGGAGGCACCACACGAGAACCTGCTTATTTGGCGTTGACGCTCCAAAAGGAAAATGCCAGGATTAGATTCTCAGATGGATCAGAAAGAATCGTCAAATTTCCATCAGCCTCTCTGAAGGGCCAGGAAGTTTGGCCCCTTCTTTGAACATTTCGTGACTGGTCCATTGCCTGTGCTCGTTGTTTGGAGACATTTAGAATCATTTACAGTAGGCAACAAGTCGTTGCAAGATGAATATAGAAAAAATAGTACGTATTCTCCATATCCAGTGGTGGGGCTTGGATGATGCCTACAGTGCCTACAGACCCACCGCGTGTCCGTTTCAGGCCTGGGAAGGACGAAAGCGAGAGACGAAGGGACGACGCTTGGCAAAGAGACCCCACGAGACGTCCCATGGGTCTCTTGAAGAGAAGATTTGACGCTTAAATGAAGGATGATAGTGGGATGATGTGGGTTAGACAGTTTGTCCTTCTTGACCAGTGGTGACCCTTGCTGTCTGCCGGTGTCACATCCGTGTGTACTTGGCGGTGACGTCCAAACACTCCAGCGACAGAGGCTGTAGCCTCCACAGACCGTGTAAATGGAAGTAGAACTACTATGAAGTACTTTCATTTCTGCCTATTTCAGAGTGTCAGTCGCTCATTTCCTGTTGGGCATTGTTGAAGCATTTGTTGTTCAGTAAATCCTGGATCGATCCTGTCCATGAACATGCAAAGTTTCGCCGTAAACTGCCGGTCCACAGCTGCTTTGAGATGGAAGGAAGGATAAGTGATGATAAGTGAAACCATGGCTGATACACTCGACTAATTAGTATAGAAAAGTATGAAAAAAAACAGTTCTGTTCCTGCTTGGTCCATTTTGCATTATCAAGGTCGAAAACCAGATGTTGTCACCAGATGTCATTCACGCCCTCCACATCGCTGACTACACCTCGGTTCCGGTCCCCTCGGTTTAGCGGGGAGATCTCTTCATGGCGCTGAAGATCTGAGCAGATCTGAAAGATTTCAAGAGGCCGCTGATCTGAAGAGGCGCTGAAGATCTGTTTGTTTCAGATCTGGTAGAGAAGACAGGCTCGAAGAGGAGAGGACCGCCCCCGGCTTCAATAGAAGGGCAAGCAATAAATGAGGATACACCATCTTAGCTTTGTAGTGGAACACTGAGGCTTGCGTGAGTCAAAGGAAGGAATGCAGTGTTAAAGTGTCACTGTCAAACAAACATGGACCAGGGCCTGATTCAAGCTAGAATTGCACAAAATTGGGTGTTCTTCGACTTTTTCATCAGGAGTGGGTACTGGAGCAACGAATGTGATGGTGTTTGGCGGTCTGTCATGGTTTGGTCTCAGGTCCCCCATGTCTCTTCCGAGCCTGCCGCCCTTGTCCATGCCCTTGCACCAGATCTATTCGCGGCGCTGGACCACAGAGTCTAAGCGGTATTTGCATGTGGCCAAGGAACGGAAATGGATGGCCCTCCAGTTCCCCAGAGCTGTTCAGATTTCGTCGCTTTTGTATGGTTTTGTCATTTTGTATGGTTTTGTGTGCATTGAGATCCAAAAATGTCCCGTTTTGTCATTTCGGCGCTTTGGATTTTGACATCTTTTGACCTGGATCAAGGCACAAGCATCGCTTCCTGGATTTTTCCCCCAAGGAGCGCGCCGAGTTGAAGCGTTACTTCGATGAGTTGGCGGGGGAGAACAGGAAGATCGCTTTGGATCAGCTGGAGACGATGTTCATCTCACTGGGCTTGGCGGAACATCCCAAAGATGTGCAGGGTTGGACTGAGAGGGTCGATGATTTACAACTGGGAGAGCTGGACTTTGAGCAGTTCTTGGAGCTGCTGTTGAAGAGGACCGATTCCGATTTGGTCTCGCTCTTTCGAGAGATGGCGAGTGGCAAGTTGGGGGATCCCAGCTTGAACTTTCAGACCATCATCTCGGAGTATCGGCGCAAGCTCATTATGGGTGCAGCTGGCGTTGGGAACATCGGCCGCCAGTCACTCGGCATGGTCGGAGGCAGTTCCGCAGTCCAAAAGGTGTCCGGTGGCTCCCTGTAAGCCCTCCACTTGATGCAAGCCATCCATATTCCCAAGTGTTTTTGAATGTTTTTGATGTTTTATGAAACTGTCCTTGTCTACATGCCCAAATCAAGAAACTCGTTTTGTTGGTGTCTAATAAGATATCCATCACAGCAACTACTCGTTTCGTGTGCCAGAACGGAGGGCTTATCTTATCAGATCTCCTGCTACACTACCACCTGGGTCATCCTGGTAGCGATTTGGAGGGTACCTGTCAGGTTGACCGGCAGATCGCCATGGCAAGAAACTATTCCGCTTTGATGGGTTACTGATTGCGCTTGTAGTGCTTCTTGTTACTAGTAGCGATGGCCTCCAACTAGTAGCGTCCTTGCAGTATTGCGCTTGTAGTGCGTACCATCACTCCATGATAGTGGCCTGGGCAGTCCAGACAACATCCCCCTACTGACGCCTTGCGGCGTTTCTCGAAATCTGCATAAACATTCTAACAATATGAAGACCTGCGGTGTTCAACCGGAGCGGTTTTTTTTCACCGTGGGAAACCGGAGCTCTTTTTTACGGCTTCGCCCTGTGCGGTGTTCACGTGCCTCGCAGGCAGCTGGGTAGCAAGGTGCTTCACAACTTCGCAGCGCTGCAGCGGAGCCGTTGGGAGGCCCAGGCGGCCAAGGACCAAGCCCAGGCGGAGTCGACTCGGTGTTCGACATGGGCCGATGTATGCCGATCGAGAATTGAATTGAGACTTGTATCATAGTAAAAATAGTTTTAGATGTTTTAGATGTGACAATTCAATCGACTTAGATATTTTGAGGTGATCAAGGTGTGGATCAGATGTTGATATGTCCATGTTTTTTTGTCCGATTCCTGATGGAAGCGAAGAAGCTGAGACAGTGATTCTGGGTGATTCGGTGGTTTGTCGCTGGAGAAGCGCTTTGGAACTCGGTCGCTTGCAACAAATGATCCGTTGCAGGCGATGGGATTGAAGAGTGGAGAGGCTGCTGCAGATGTTCGGCTGCAAAGTAGCACGGAGTCTTCGAAGTTTGAAGATGTGTTTGGTGTTTTTCTACCCTTTCAACAGAAGAAAGCCCTGAATCAGACATGTTGGCAAAAGGCATTGGCTTTGTTTTTGTTTGATGTTTTGCACAGCTCAGTCCTTGAGCCAAAATGGTATCAGCCATGGTCGGCCAGACCGTCATTTGTTGGTGGCTGAGACACGATGTGTTGGGCTGTTTGTCCAACCCTTGGTGTCTACTTCAACAGTTTGTTGCCCCCCATTTAGTCTATGGTAAAGGTATGTAAAAGATTGTATAAGCATGTTAAAGCCTCAGGCCACAAAGATTTACATGATGCTGAGACCAGTGATCGCATGTTATAGCCATTCCCTGCGTCACATTTTGAGGACTTCAATACGAATTCGACTCGTGACCCTCCTGTGGCTTGGCATCGCTTCCAAACTCCGTGCAGTCCGCCCTCCGCGACACTGTGGAGCGCTTGTCGCAGGGTGCCAATCTTCCATGCCAAAAAGACCTTCAGGGGGTATGACACCGTGGTAGGTGTGCTGAAACGTGTAAGAGCCAAAAGTAACCTACCAATGCAAGATTGATAACCCGTGACAAACCTTCAACTTGAGCTCCATGTCAGACTTCCTTCTTTTTGTTGTAATACAATCAATATGTGTGCATGTGTGTGGTATAAAAAGAGAGAGAGGGAGGGGGAGGAATTCTTTTGGCGAGTTGAAAGGATAGCCAACTCCCTGGTGCCACTTACCATGTGCCAATTCGAGCGTTGCTAATTCGAGGGATGTTTCATCGAGTGTTGCCAGGGATTATATAGCGTTTCGTACCACCCGTGTTGTGCCTTGGAGTAAGAAAATGGTCTTCGATCACGTGAAGACCGGCAGTGCCATCCCGGCAGTGCCCTTCCTCGACCGAGGTCGGTGGCCTGGAGATGATCTGGCGAGGCGTTTGCGCGGAGAATGACCTGTGGCCCACGCGGAGCATGGACGGAGCCGCGGAAGGGAGGACGAAGCAGATCTTGGAGCAGCCACCCTCACCGGAGGAGATCTTAGAGCCTGGGAGAATACCGGTGTGAGAAGAAGATGCAAAGAAAAATCCACTAAAGGGTTTCTGCTTTTGAATGTTGGATTCTCCCAACGTAGAATATCAGAGTAAATTGCTCTGTCATCGTGGTGAACATTATTTGTGCCTTTTCATCACATTCATCTTGAACTCGATAACAATGTAAGGTAGGTCCACGATCAGCCTGGCACAGGGAAATTCTTGAATCTACGGGGGTCAGCAGTTATAACACTTCGACATCGTTGCTGCTCAGTTAACTTTTCCTGATAGTAACTCTCGCATATTCAGTGTGCCTGTAAATATAGTTTATAAACATGCCCAGATACAGCTTGCTCCGAGTTTCTCCTGTTCAACGAATAGAATGGCTTCGGTGGAGTGGGGGTCGCCGGCCCGAAGTAGACGACAGGTCAAGGCAATTCAAGGCATGTTGCTTTGGAGGTTTGCAGAAGTTGGCATGTTATGTGGAGACAAGGAGTATTTGGAGGTTTTGACACATTGGTTGACCAAGTCTGGCATGCAGTTGTTTTAGTGTGGTGGTTTGGAAGAAGGAGTTGTTCCATGTTGTTCCTCGTCATTGTGCGAATCTAAGGAGAAGGTTCACAAGCATTATAGTCCCAAGAAGAGTGTGAGGCCGTTTGGCCACTTGCCCCAAATGGCTTTGGGGCCTTGGGGCCTGTCACATGTTACTGATTTTTGTTCGATCTTGAAGCTGCCAAGCGGATGGCACCACAAAGCACGTAGAAATGGATGGCACCATGCGACATGTGTTTCGTCTTTGTGCGAGCGCCCAAGTGGATGATCCCCAAGCCTGGGACAGGGAACGCACTTGTCAAGTGCGGCTGGTGTTATTGTACGTGTCGATTCCTTCTCTTGGTGTCTCTTTCGGTGGGGTTTCTCAACCAGTTTCTCAAGCCCTTTTGATTGGGGCTTTTCCAAAGGCTGGTGCATTTGACGAAGCTGCCGAGCGGCTGTTTTCCTTACGGATGTTTGGGAGGTCTTGGGGAAGGCATGAGGCAAATCTATACAGATCTATATGCGAATGGAAGTGCAGCGACATGTACAGTGCAACATGTACATATAT